GCCTTCCACTCTCTCCCTATTTATTTCAGAACCCCCTTCCCCTCCCCCTTTTCTGATGAAGGGTCTAGGCCCGAAACGTCAGCCTTTCTGCTCCTATGATGCTGCTAGTTCTGCTATAATGTGTGTTTCGTTAATGCAAATTGGCTGTAATGCGATTGATAAATAGTGGACGCTGTTTGGGTAATGGGAACTTTTTGCTGTACAGGTTTGATGATTTTCCACAACAATTTCCCTATAATGTGATTTTCTGTAGCGTGATTTTCTATAGCATGATCTTCTATAGTGCGAGGTCACACAAGAACACAACTTTCACATTAAAGGAGAACTACCTGTACCAGGTCTAGTGTAACTTGCCCTCTGCCCCTGAATGTGCTGTTCTAAGAAACTATTCCAAATAAACTCTTCATCTTGCCCATTTGGCTTTTCCAGTCTGTATGTAGATTAAATATTCCCATGATTAGTGTCATGCCTTTCTGACAGGCTCTCATTATATCTTCCTTTGTGCTTCACTTGACCATTTAAAGTCAGGCGACCTGTACACCACTTCTACAAGTGACTTCTTGACTTTCTCCTTTCTGCATTCATCTGGAAATCCATAACTGATGTGGAAATCTTTGTGACTCAATATATTATTTATTCTATTTTTATTGAACCTATCATTGGTGGCTATGTCTACAGCTGTCGAGGTCCCACACTTTGGAGTTTCATTCCAAAACTTCTTTGCCTCATGATTTCTATTTATTTCTTTTAAATCATGTCAAACATGCTACAAAAAATACAAGTTGTTCCTGAGGATTTGCCAATGAAACCAGAACAATCCTTCATACTTCCAGTGTGAGATTTCCAGGATATATAATTGCAGTGATTACAGAAACCTGGTGCTAACTGAGCCCACCTTACATTTTTTTATTTATACTATATTCTGTCCTCTTTTAGACTAACATTTTTCTTAGTATTGACAGGTAGATTCACCAGAACAAAAAAAAATCGACAAAAGTAAACTGTCGTAACTCACAACGAGTAATTTGCTACTGGAGAGTGACTGAATCCCAGTTATTGGAATCACTAACCTTTAAATGAATGAATGCCTCAAATAGCATTAGAGTGTATTGACTCACGAGCTAAGTAACAGCAGAAAGCAGGTATTGCATAATGTCCCAACTAGCTGTTTGTGGACTTATCGGCTGAGAACACAATTAATCCATATTACTGTAAGATACTATTATATGTATATATATTAGTTCAGTTAATGAAGTATCTCTGGTTTACAGTGTCTGATGTTCCAGTTATTGCTCTTGGCTCTCTTTTCTATTGCTGCAGAGTTGTTTCTATTACTTTTGTTTTATCAAGGCAAATAGGTTTGAAATGCCTTTGAAATACAGAAATTTAATTCCTGATGTGGAAAACATTAAAATCTGAAATAAACAAAAGCCGTTTTTGTAGTAAGTTGCTGTTCATGTTCAGCTGAATGAATGTTTACAGCTTTATTACACATAGCTATTTTCACAGCACAGTCACAGAGGGCATGAGATCTGGAACCTTACAGATGCAGGTTCCAAATCCTTGTGATCTGATATCACATGCCCTGCAGTTATACACAGAATAAAGGAATAATTAACCCTGTACTGCACAATAGCCAAAGGAATACAATGTCCTATCGTCCAGCATCCACTTTATAAAATCAGATATTCTTTGAAATATTCACACTGTAAATATTGTCATTCTCCAATAGCAAATTACTAGCTGTGAGTTAGACAGTTTACTTTTCTCTATGATTTTTGTTTTGTTCTGGTGAATCTACCTGTCAATATCAATAGGACAGAATGTAGTATAAATGGAAAAATAATGTAGGGTGGACTCAATTAGCACCATTCTTGTGAAGGCAGAAGCCATGACTAAGGTGTTAAATTAACATTTGCATGGAGAAAGTGATTTTGCTAATGCAGTAATAAAGGAAGTAGAATCAACAATTACTAGGAGCATTATGAAAAGAAAGAAGCACTTAAAATCCTGGTAATCCCCAAACTGAGAAGTCATCCAATATGGCTGGCATCCTAGCTACTGAAGAAAGAAATTTTGATGTTATTAGCCACAGTTTTGTATTCCGCATTAGATATTGAGAGGAAATAAGGCAATGTTTTAGGATGTGGTAGGGCCTTTACATTGCAAAGGTTGGATTTCTTCTTAGAAATATGCAAAGTGTTCAAACTTCAATTTGACACTAGTCAGTGATAGGGAAACATTTAAGAACAATAATCTGGGACAAAATTAATTGACATTTGGTAAGGTGGAAGCTCATAAACAAAGGTCACCATAGATTTGTTCAAAGTAAATTGAATTTAACAAAATTGAGTGAGTTCTTTGATGAAGGAACAAAGATTATCGCTGAGGGTGGTGGGGATAATGTTATGCAAAGTGGTTGCCAAAATGTGTTTTAAAATGTAATATGTCATGTGTCCATTAACAAAATTAAAGCCCAATGCATTAAAGATACAGGAGCAGTTTGGATATAAAATGGTGAAGGCAGAGAAACCCACACTGGCTGTGGTTAGAATGGAATTGCTACAGCGTGGAAGCAGGACATTTGGCCCACCAAATCCACACCGACCATCTGAAGAACATCCCTTGCAGACCCACCCCATCCCTGTAACCCTGCAGTTCCCATGGCTAACCCACCTAGCCTAGACATCCCTGGACACTATGGGCAATTTAGCATGGCCAACCCACCTAACCTGCACATCTCTGGACTGTGGGAGGAAACTGGAGTACCCAGAGGAACCCACACAGACACAGGGAAAATGTACAAATTCTACACAGATAGTCACCCGAGGCTGGAATCAAACCAGAGACCCTGGCACTGTGAGGTAGCAGTGCTGACCACTGAGCTAATATGTTGCCACCAAGAAAGACCCTGCTTCTCAACTTGTCCCCTCACCTGAGGCATGGTGATCCTCATGTTCAACTACCACCAGTCATCTCTGTCTAATGGGAGAGCAGCCAATAGAAAGTTTACCTTTTAGTGGTGAACAGTTGCTTCTCAATCTGGAAGGAAGTAATCAGTGGTAACACAGTGTGGAGCTGGAGGAACACAGCAGGCCAGGCAGCATCAGAGGAGCAGGAAAGCTGACGTTTCAGGTCGGGACTCTTCTTCAGAAACCTCTAATACTGCCTGGCCTGCGGTGTTCCTCCAGCTCCATGCTGTGTTATCTCAGACTCCAACATTGGCAGTTCTTACTATCTCTAAGTGTTCAGTGGTGATGTGCAGGGCTCACTATTAACATTTCTGCTCTTCCTGATATAAGACTCAAAACAGCACCAACAGAGCCACTACAAGTGTTCACTGCTATTGTTGCTTCTAAGGAAAGCCTGAAGTAAGCATAAATCTTCATAAAGTCTGTTTATTGGTCTGTTCACAGGGCTAAAATTAAATGTAGATAGGTATTCTTCTATTCATTTATTATAATAGGTTCTGAAAATTGTGCAATTTTATTCATACTAATAAACAGTGGAAAGAAAAGCTCAAAGTTTTCAGTGGAAGTTGCAATGTCAGTAAAAAGACAATAGTGGCAAGTAGAAATATCAGTAAGAGAAAGAGTAGAAACTCTTAGGATAGATAGATGAGGATGATTTCAGTGTCAGGACTGTGCCTTTTATTTTGTATTATTAAAAACCGGGATGGAATGAAAAAGAACTGTTTTAAAAATCAGTGTCTGAAAGGGTGGAGATAAGTTTTGACCACAAATGATCTGACATCATTTCTGCAATTGTGTGAACAACTGTTTGAATGAGCGGTAAGCGACTTTTGAGTTACACATGATTTGGAACCAAGGGGTGCTCAGTTGCAGCATTTGCTGGGAAAAGGAAGGTGATTGGTCTATGGACTAGTGACCAGTTATCAATAACAGAGATCTTTTCGCCTGCCTACAAGTGTGTATTTGAACTGCTTGGAGCTGGGAATAGGTTACAAAGAAAGAGAGAAGTGATCAGTACTTCCCCAGTTCTCTGTTCTCTGCAGTTAAAACTCAATGTAAACTGAAGAAAACCAGTTTATCTTTCCTAAAACAGTTGATGTAAGCTGTGACTTTTAACTGATGAGTCAGAGACTTCACATAAAAGAACCAGCCACCTTGTGTCTCTCACCAACTGATGGAAGAAACCAGAGAAAGACGATTGATGCAATGTGTTGGTCAGCAGAATAATCATGAAGATTACCTCAACTGAAGTACTTTGGAAACAAAGACTACTTTCCAGTCTTTCCCCCCTGTCCATAACCTATTAACCTTGTATGTTTGTGTGTGTGTGTGTGTGTGTGTGTAAGTAAGGGGGTATCTATCAGGGCCTTAGAGTTTTCATTAATGTCGTAACAGTTTATCTACAGCTAGATTCTAATTTTTTTTTCCATAAGTAGTGATACTTCTTCAGCACAGAAACCTGATCTGTGCTTCCTATCATCCTGGGGCTGAAAGTCAAGTAAATTAGAGAACCTTGTGTACTTTATAAAATTTCTAACTTTTATAACAGTTCCAGGAGTAGATGGACTTAATTTCCAGTGTATCACCCCAGTGAATTGTAACATCACATTAAAGTTGTGTCATTAATTTTTCTAGTCATTCAAATTTTAGCTTCAAATTCCCAACTTCTTGTGATATTTACATTGCTAAAGTCAAATAATTGGATAATTTTATTTTGCTTACATAAAAACAATTTTGGATTATTGTGAGTAGACTGCATGGTTTAGGCTTCTGTTTATTTGTAAAATTGAGCAATTACTGAAAGATAACCTTTATCTTCTTTCCAGAAAAAGCTACAAAATACTGTGATGAAACCGGGAACTGGTTTAAGCATCCAGAAACCAATCATACTTGGTCCAACTATACGTTGTGTAATAAATTCATAGATTACAAAATAAAGGTAGGTTTCACTCACCCTTAATTCAGTCACTCCATGGATAGAACTTAAGAATACTGCCCACTCCCCAAACCCCAACCCTCCACCTCCACTGAGGGAAGTTCAGAATTGACTTGTTTGGAGTTGATGGTAGGTACATTGTGCTGATCATGTCTCCAACCCTAATTAAGCCTGGTTGGTGAAGGCTTACAAGTGGCTAGCTGCAGGACAGTCAATTTACATATTAAGATACAAAATAAAAAACAGACTCATGTAAGAAACCATTTTAGTGAGTATGACAGGCACCGGATATTAAAAATTCTTATTAGTGCTATAGAACGAGGAAACCTCACAGGCATACGCAATGCCAAACTATTAAATACGAATGCTTTACCTGTCACACAGTATGTCAGTTTTAGAAAAAGTGCAGATATGAGACACAGTTTTTGAAAAGCAAGGAATTAAATTGCTATCCACACAAAATGGTTGATGAGGTATAACATTCTACAACACAAAAAGGTACTAAAGTGTTCTGAAGGGAAGTAAGTAATCAAAACGTACAATTTGACAAGCTGGTATTTATAGCAGTGGTCGTTTTACGGATCTCGAGTTAGACCCAAGGCAAGTAATAACATTTTGTAGGATAGTGACTGGGTCTAGCAAAATACTATCTACAAATGCAACGGTGCATCTACATGCTTCAGGGGCATGGCACTTAAGGTTAAAACTATGCTGCAAGCAACGCTTCAATGTTAGCAACTCCAAATAGTAGAAAACCTGAAGATAATTCACAATCCACAATCAAGGATCCTCACTCTTGATTTGGAGTCAAAGGTTGATTTCAATTGTCTTCACACGATAGAAGGACTTAAATTAAAGTTAAGGAATGGCCATGAAGGTCGAGAAAGAGCTGGCCACATCTGATCAAAGGATACCTGGTAAAAGATTTCATAAGCCTTGCTGGAATCATGGTGGAATCCAAATAAAAAATAGAATCAATTTAAATTAATTACAGTGACAGTATGAAGCAAATTTCTTATGCAAATAAGACAGGAACCTGTGCACAAACTGGATTGGCACAAATGTTCTCCACTGATATCAATAACGAAGAGCACTCAGATTGCAAGAACTGGTAAAGTTTGTGAGAAAAAATAATGAATGAAATAGTGTGAAATAAACAGCATAACCCACTTGTGACAATTAATGAACTTTTAACTGACATAACTTGAAGTGCAATATGGCTTGATATACAAATTTCAAGTTCAAGTATGCTGTTAGATGCTGATATTACTCAGAAGAGACAGGTTCAAGCAGAATATTTAATTGTATTATCTTTCAACGAAGAAGGCAATGGCTTGGTGGTATTCTCGCTAGAATCCCGCCATGGCAGATGGTGGAATTTGAATTCTATAAAATATCTAGAATTAAGAATCTAATGATGTCCATGAATCCATTGTCGATTGTCGGAAAAACCCCATCTGGTTCACTAATGTCTTTTAGGGAATGAAACTACCATCCTTACCTGCTGTGGCCTACATGTGATTCCAGACCCACAGCAATGTGGTTGACTCTCAACTGCCCTGTGGGCAATTATGAAAGGGCAATAAATGCTGCCTAGCCAGTGACACCCTCATCCTGTTAATTAAATAAAGAAAGAAAAAAGAATCCTTGACCATTGAGACAGAAATCTTAACAAGCCAGAAGCAATCCTCATATTGCAGTACTGAGGAAGTAAACATGTAGGTTTTACCAATATTGCAACTGCTGAGTGTGAATGCGAGTCCAAATCAACCACCATGTTGGTAAAAGCTTTATATGTTTCATTCCAAATTTACAAGTGGATTGAGAATAAAATTCTGCTGCCATAGATTGAAGATGTGGTCCATACAATTCCACGGAAGCCATCATTGATGAGGGATGACCAATATCGATTGATTCAAGATACTGCAAAAAGGATATTGCCTATTTCAGCAGGGTCCTCCAAGAAGTAAATCCAAGAGATCATATATTCTCAGTATAAAGTGACTTACAGACCTCAAACTGTCAGAAAAAGAATCAAAGACAATGAATTTCCATGCAGCAAACTATCGGTCTTCCAAGTCCGATAAGATCACATTCCGGAGCAATAATGAAACTTCCAGATTGCATACATTTGTAAAGTCAGACGCTTGAGGACGTACAGGGTCATGGTAAATGAAATTAAATACACTAGTGTTTAACATTAATAAAAAAAAGTTTGGCGGAGATGTTTGTTTATGGATCTGACAGGCTTTGAAATGATTGACAGTGAGAAGGTCCATAAGCACCCCCCGTTAATATGTCATGCAGACTTGAGGTCAGAATCTTGACAAGCCAAGATAAATAGATATGATCTAATTGGCATTATGGAACATGGTTGCAGAATGATGAAGACTAGGAACTGAAGATTCAGTGATATTTGATGTTTTGGAAAGACAGGTATAAAGGAAAAGGAAGTGGAGTTGTGCTAATAGAAGAGATGGGATCACTACATCAGTAAGGGAGGATCTCAAATCAGATGAGCAAATTGTGGAATCTGTTTGTGTGAAGTTAAGAAACAGTAAGGGCAACAAATATTGGTATGAGTTGTTTATAAGCCACTACACGGAGTGACGATCACTAATGGATCCACCACCTGTGTAACTATTCCTTCCAACATTCTGGATTGTAGAATATCAGATTATGGGGACTTATCAATATTCAGCCCCATTAATTCCCCAACACTTCAGTTTTCTTACTGATATAATTTTCTTTCACTTCTTTGTTTCCTAAATCAATTGGATTTCTAACTCTGGGATATTAGTATCATGACATTAATCAGGAAATCATTACAAGGGAACTAATGGGTAATTCAGCAAACATAGGTTTCTTCAGTCTGCACATAGACTGGATAAACCTAATGAATGCTTATGCTGTGGAGGATTTCTGACAGTTTCTGGAGTGAGTTAAGCAATAGTTTTCTAAACCTCACCAAACAGCAGGTTATTTTAGATCTAGTATGATGTATAAAAAGTGCCAATTAACAATCTTGTTGTAAAATAATTTTTAAGGCTTAGTGACCTCAACATGATAGCTAATTTAGTCTGAAGTGAAAGCATTAAAAATTTGAACAGAGCAAATTGTGACAGTATGAAAGGAAATTATCTGAGATGGATTGGAGTAATTCATTAAAAAGTATGGCATTACAAAAGCGATATATACTCTTTAAGAGATAACACAGTGTGGAGCTGGAGGAACACAGCAGGCCAGGCAGCATCAGAGGACTAGGAAAGTTGGCGTTTCGGGTCGGGACCCTTCTTCAGAAAAAATTTTTCTGAGGGTCCCGACCTGAAACGTCAACTTTCCTGCTCCTCTGATGCTGCCTGGCCTGCAGTCTTACTCCAGCTTGACACTATTATCTCCGGCATTCTGTGTTTGTTTCAGATTTCCAACATACACAGAATTTTGCCATTTTTAAAGGTTCACTAGACTTGTTCCAGGCTGGTGAGACTGTTCTAGGTAGCCAGATTGGGAAAACTGGGCCTATTCTCTCGAGAGTTTTGAAGTATGAGAGAAGATCTCATTTAAACCTACAAAATACTTAAGGGGAGAGTTTGGGTATGTAGGCTAGATGTTTCCCCTTTTTGGGAGTGTCAAACCAAGGGACACAATTACAAAATAAAAGGAAGTAATTTAGAACTGAGATTATGATTTTTTTTAATGCAGAAAGTTGTGAATTTTTTGAATTTCCTCCCCCAAAAGGCTGCATAAGCTTATTCATTGTGTTGTTTAGAGCTTAACAGATTTTAAATACTAATACAAACCACTTAAGCTCACTGAAATACCCTTAATCAAAATAGTTTGCACAGCAACAGTCTGGTGAGGAAATGATAAGAGCAGATTCAAATTAGATGTCAGGTGATGAAACAACACAAGTTTAAGCAGAATATTTAAATTATTCACCTTCTAAGAAAGAACTAATGACATCATCACTAATGACAGAGTTAACTTGCAGTAGTCCTCAGGTAACATGACTGAGCATGTGAACATGTTGGATTCGCCAGTGAGGCAATTACAAAGGGAGACTGAAGATTTTCAACCTAATGAACAAGTCAAAGCATAGAGCTTACAGACTTCAACACACATGTATTTTCACATTGAGAGTTACGGTCTGGATATACAAATTGAAGATGGGCTACATGTGAGTCCTTGAGAGCCAACATTGAGAAGAGGTGACCAATATCCACCGATTCAGGGCATAGTCAAGAAGAATCTACCTGGCAAAGAAATCCAACATGTTGTCAAGCAGAAATTGGCTGGCTCAGAAATTCAAGAAATTATGATAAAGAAAATGCCTGTTTCTACAGAGCAGCTGTCTTGCATGAGCTAATTCATGAGATTTAGATCGACTGGCTAATGTTTTGGGTCAACTGCCTGTTTCAGCTGGGAAAAGCTCTTCTGTAAATCAAATTCAGATGATTAATGACCCTGTAGATAAAATAATGGACTGATAATCTGGTTTAGCAGGAACAACATCTCCAGCAAAGACATCCAATAGATAACAGGTACTCCAATACAGCAAGACTTTACCGACCACACAGAGTCATTGACAAAATTAAGGACAACAATCTTCAAACCAAAGGCCTGACAATGTTTGAAGTCCCAATTTTGGCATCTGTAAAACAATGTGTAAATTAAGCATTTTATAGTTTGCTGTATCCAATTACATACGTCTTAAATGCCAACAAGTATATTTAAAGCTGTTTATTATTTATTAAATTTATTACAATTTCCAAAATTTTAGGAGGCTTCCCAACAGATATTATCTTTTTTGTAGCAGTACATTACCATAAACTTCAAATTACTTTTCCCATGTTAACTCCTAACATACTTGGAATACATTTCTACATTTTTTTGAAAGTATGGTTATTTGTTTAAAGTGAATAGCTTGACAAAGAGAAGAAGGCAGTAACAACTCCAATACATGATTCAATACTGCTATCTAGAAATGCATTCCATACTGTCACAGAGTATTATGGCTGTGACGTTATTGTGTCATTGTGGTTGAATTGGATAAAAAATACCAGCAATTTTCAAAGTTCTTAATGAGATTTAATTCAGTGATTAATTTGAAGAAGTAACAAGCAGTGAATATTTAGCAGATAAACTGTAACATGATCCCTCCTCTTTTCACCTCACAGAGAAAGATGACAAGCTTTGCATCCACTGAAAATTATGAAGAAAGTACAACTGAACCATCATTAATTGAGACTGCACAAGACCTAATAAGGCAAAAGATAATGGATGCACAGTTTAAATGTTATGAAAAAATGGTCAGGGACCCTTTATATGATAAACCAGGTAAGAGACAATAGTTAGTAATACCACGCTAACATGTTTGCTTAAATTGCAATTTCCTTTCCATTTTAGACAATATTGTCAATGGCTTTGTTTCCTCAAGTACATCCAATCACTCCTATAGCACTGTCATTATCATCCCACCCTGCTCAAAATAAAAGACTTATGATCCCATGGACCATGCACATCCCATCTCAAAGCTCAAAGATAGTAAGAACTGCCGATGCTGGAGTCAGAGATAACACGGTGTGGAGCTGGAGGACCACAGCAGGTCAGGCAGCATCAGGGGAGCAGGAAAGCTGACGTTTCAGGTCAGGACCCTTCTTCAGAAATGAAGATGCTGCCTGGCCTGCTGTGTTCCTCCAGCTCCACACTGTGGTATTCCCACCTCAAAGCACCATGTCCTCTCCAACTTCTTTAGACATGTTATCATCTCTTAAACCTGTCTCCATCTTTCAAAGAACCCTCTAATCAGGATTCCACCGACATCACAATACTGAATCAATTCTTATCAAAGTCACAAATGACATCCAATGTGATTGTACCAAAGGTAAACCATCCTGCCTAAACCTTTCTGCAACCTTTGACACAGTTGATTTTAACATCGTCCTCTAAAGCGTCTCCATTTTCTCCACAATAGGATGAGACTGCTCTCACCTGGCTCCATTCTTATCTATTAAATTGTAACCTAAGAACCACTTACAACAGCTTCTCTTCCTGATCCAGCATTGATCCTTCTGATGTCTTACAGGGATCTAGTCTTTATCCCTCCTATATTTCAATATATGCTGCTCCTTGGTGACAATGTCTAAAACATAGATTTAGTTTTCATTTGGACAATGGTGACTTCTAGGTTTTCCATGTAACAGGATTTTTGCAAGTTCTCCACTCTCTCTAACTCATCATACTTCATGTCTGACATCCAGTAAAAATGAGCAGAAATTTCATCAAAATAGTTAGAAAGACCGAAGCCATTGTCTTTGGTCCATGCTATATATTCTGTTTTCTAGTCAACAACTCCATCCATTCCTTGGCAATTGTTAAAATCTGAATCAAACTGTTTGTAACCTTTGTGTCATATTTGCCTCTGAGATTACCATCTGACCACATAACCATGTCATGACGAAGACCATCTATTTTGATTTCCATTACATTGAGTGACCCCATCCTGTTCCAGATAATCTGCAGCTGAAACCTTATTAATCTCATCGTTAATTGTCATCCTGATCATTCCATCATTCTCCTGGTCAGTCTCTCACATTTAAACCTTCCATAATCTTGAGATAATCCCAAATCCCTGTTATTTGTTTCCTTACATGTGCTAATTCCTTTCACCTATCAGCCCTCTTACTGACCAACACTGGCTCTTGAAGAAGTAATGACACAAATTTAAAATAACCAACTTGTTTACAAAATGTTCCATTGCATTAAATCTCTGTATCTCTGCCTCCAGCCTTACAATTCCAGCTCTGAAATAGCTACACTGCTCTAATTTTGGTCTTTTGATCTCTATCTAGTTGTGACCCGAAAACTAGTTACAATGGCTTCCCTTTCTGATCTTGCATTGTTCCCTCTGGTGTTCCATAGGACTGTGTCTTGGTTCTCTCGTGTTTCTCAATTAAGTGCTGCTCCTTGGGAACATTGACCAAAAAAAAGTTTTATTTTCACATGAACTCTGGCAACTTCTAGTTTACCGTCCCAGAAGGAAAAACAAGTAAAAGTTGCAAATGACACAAATAAAAACAGAAAGTGTGACAAAAATTCAGCCGATCTAGAAGCATCTGTGGTGAGGGAAATCTGTTGTCGGTTAACATTTCATGTCCAATATGAATGTTTTTCAGAACTGAAGGGGCCTGGAAAACTGCAAGTTGTCATGCTGTTAACAAAGGGGGAAGGATAGGCAAGTGGTACAGATGATAAAGTTGTCTAGAGCAAACAGCAGAGGGGTTGATAATAGTAGTATAGGAGCAAAACAGATGAAAATATAGGCGGCACTTGGGTGGTAAATGGGTTCCATTCCTGAGTCTGCTTGCAAGTGAATTTGCACGCACACTCCAACACAATGCAGGACAATATGACTCAGAGATAGTAGGAGCTGCCGATGTTGGAGAATCTGAGATAACAAGATGTAGAGCTGGATGAACACAGCAGGCCAAGCAGCATCAGAGGAGCGGGAAAGCTGATGTTTCGGGTCTGGACCCTTCTTCAGAAATGGGAGAGAAGAAGGAGATTCTGAAATAAATAGAGAGAGAGGGGGAGGCGGATGGAAGATGGATAAAGGAGCAGATAGGTGGAGAGGAGACAGACAGGTCAAGAGGGCGGGGATGGAGCCAGTAAAGGTAAATGTAGGTGGGGAGTTAGGGTGGGGGTTGGTCAGTCAAGGGAAGATGAACAGGTCAAGGAGGCGGGAATGAGGCTGGTAGGTAGGAGGTGGGGGTGGGGGTTGAGGTGGGAGGAGTGGACAGGTGGGGGAAAGGACGGACAGGTGAGGGAGGCGGAGATGAGCTGGGCTGGTTTTGGGATGCGGTCAGGGGTTTGGAAACCAAGCGGAGGCTTGGAGACCGCTTTGTGGGACATCTACGCTCGGCTCGCGACAAACGGCTGCACATCCCAGTCGCAAACCACTTCAACTCCCCCTCCCACTCCTTAGACAACATATCCATCCTGGGCCTCCTGCATTGCCACAACGATGCCACACAAAGGTTTCAGGAACAGCATCTCATATTTTGCTTGGGAACTCTGCAGCCCAATGATATCAATGTGGACTTCACAAGCTTCAAAATCTCCCCTCCCCCTACCGCATCCCAAAACCAGCCCAGCTCGTCCCCGCCTCCCTAACCTGTCCGTCCTTTCCCCCACCTATCCACTCCTCCCACCTCAACCCCCACCCCCACCTCCTACCTACCATCCTCATCCCCGCCTCCTTGACCTGTCCGTCTTCCCTTGACTGACCAACCCCCAACCGAACTCCCAACCTACACTCACCTTTACTGGCTCCATCTCCGCCTTTTTGACCTGTTTGTCTCCTCTGCACCTATCTGCTCCTTTATCCATCTTCCGTCCACCTCCCCCTCTCTCCCTACTTATTTCAGAATCCCCTTCCGCTCCCCCATTTCTGAAGAAGGGTCCAGACCCGAAATGTCAGCTTTCCTGCTCCTCTGATGCTGCTTGGCCTGCTGTGTTCATCCAGCTCTACACTTTGTTATCTCAGGACAATATGAAACAGCTATTCATAAGTACTTGACATGTTTGTATGTTGGATATTTAAAGTTACACCCTGTATGGGATGGCTTTTGCAAGTACGAGTGTTCAATAAGCTGGACATCCGTAAATTGGGAATCCTCTGTAGTTGTTAGTGGTAGATGTGAAAATTTGATGTCATTCAAATCTGTTATTTATGTCTTTACACGCACTAAGTCCCTTTCACCTGTCAACACTATTCTCACTGAACACCATTTGGCTCCTACTCAGGCAATGCATCAATTTTAAAATTCCCATCCTTGTTTTCAAATCTCTCCATGGCATTGCTTCACCCCAATTATATAACTGCTCCAACCCTCCATGGTGTTTACAATTTTCTAATTTTAGTCTTTTGACAACCACTAATTTTAACTGTTTCCTCATTCAGGTTGATACTTTCAGCTGACCAGGTCATAAGCCTAAGAATTCTCTTTTCTCATCTGCTGTAAAATTTCTTTTGCTGTTTGGTGTCAAATGTTGTTTCATAATGATCTTTGAGATATTTTCCATCATTAAAGGGACTATGTAAATGCAAATTGTTATTATTAGAAATAGTATCAGATATTCAGCAATGCATTCTGATTTGGCAGGTCTATACTGTAACCGAACCTGGGATGGTTGGCTATGCTGGGATGATACACCAGCTGGAACACTCAGCATGCAGAACTGCCCGAACCACTTTAATGATTTTGATGAAACCGGTAAGAGTGTTATACCTTTGCAGTCCTTTTTTAACTCTTGAGGATGTTAATGCTGTAGTATCCCCATAAAGCAACTTAATATTTATCATGAAAGTAATTCTGACATCTTATTGAGTTGCTTCGCGTGGGTTTAAGGAACATGCACCAGCATCATGCAGTGTATACACTCACTGTATATTGCTGATGCAACACCAGCTCTGCCCTTTTCAACCTGAACACTCCACTTAATATATTCTCTTAATGGCACACAGCTCAGCATGGGCTCAGCAACAGGAAGGACCCACTTCATCAGAGCTTTTTCAAGGGCTCACAATGGGGACTAATTACTGATGAAGTTTTACCATCTCTGTAGGAGGTTAGGGGAGTGAGTGAGTGTGGGTGAGAGTAAGTAAGTGAGAATCCTAAAACCGAGATTGAGTTACATAACATGCGCACATGCACACATACGCACAGAGAGTGCACAGGGAGAAAGGCAACCCGATTGCCACTCTTTTGTTAATTTCACTGAGCCTATCTCGGAGTCTGCATCACAGGAGGTGAGGCAGAAGATTGATGAAGGCAGAGTGGTAGACGTTGTCTGCATGGACCTCAGCAAAGCATTGACAAGGCTCTGCATGGTAGAGTGGTTCGCAAGCTTAGGGCACATGGAATCCAAGAAGAGCTAGCCAATTGGATACAAAATTGGCTTGAAGGTAGGAGACAGAGAGTGGTGGTACAGATTTGTTTTTCAGACTGGAGGCCTGTGACCAGCGATGTGCCACATGATTGGTGCTACATCGGTGCTTTTCATCATTTATATAAATGATTTGGATGTAGGTGGTATGGTTAGTACGTTTGCAGATGACATCAAAATTAGGGGTGTGGTGGACAGTGAAGAAGTACAAATCGCAGAGTACAATAGGACCCTGATCAGATGCACCAATGGGACGAGGACTGGCAGATGAAGTTTCAGATAAATGTGAGGTGTTGCATTTTGGAAAGGCAAATCAGGGCAGGACTTACACACTTAATGGTAAGATCCTCAGGAATGTTGCTAAGTAAAGGGACTTAGGGGTTCAGGTGCACAGTGCCTTGAAAGTAGAGTCACAGGCAGACAGGGTAGTGAAGGAGGCACTTGGTATGCTTGCCTTCATTCGTCAGTGCATTGAGTTTCGAAGTTGGGAGGTCATGTCGTGCTGTATAGGACATTGGTGAGGCCACTTTTAGAATACTGTGTTCAATTCTGTTCTCCCTGCTTTAGGAAAGATGTTGTGAAACCTGAAAGGGTTCAGAAAGGATTTACAAGGTTATTGCTAGGATTGGAGAGTGTGAGCTATAGGGAGAGGCTGAATAGGCTGGGGCTATTTTCCCTTGAGTGTCAGAGGCTGAGGGCTGACCTTTTAAAGGTTTATAAAGTCATGAAGGACATGGATAGAATGAATAGCCAAGGTCATTTTCCTAGGGTAGGGGGGCCCAAAATTAGAGGGCATAGGTTTAAGGTGAGAAGGGAAAGATTTAAAAAGGACCTGAGGGGCAACTTTTTCACACAGAGGGTGGTACATGCATGGAAAGACCTGTCAGAGGAAGTATGGAGGCTGGTACAATAACAACTTTTAAAAAGCATCTGGATGGGTGTATGAATAGGAAGGGTTTAGTGGGATATGGACCAAATACTGGCATATGGGACTAAATTAATTTAGGATATCTGGTCAGCATGGACAAGTTGAACCAAGGGGTGTGTTTCCGTGCTGTATAATTCTATTACTCTCTGACTCTTTGATTGGAAAACTGCCAATGTAGTACCTTTATTTAGAAAGAGGAGGCAAGAAAAGAATGGCAGTTAGTGAACAGTTAGCTTAATGTCTGCTATTGGGAAAATGTGAGAGTCCACTGTACAGGATGTCTTAACAAAACATTCAGAAATACACAATCTGATTAAACAGAGTCAGCATGGCTTCACGAATGAGAAATCATGCCTGACAAATTTACCAGCATTCTGTGAGGAGTTGACAACTAGGGTAGATATAGGGAAAGCACTGAATTTAACATATTTGGATTTTTAGAAGTCATTTAATAAGATACCATACATTAGACTACTAATAAGATTAGAGCCCATGGTTTAGGATAGAATATATTAGCATGGGATAGAGTTTGTTTCACAAATAGAAGACATACCATTGGGATAACGGGACATTTTCAGGTTGACAACCTGTAACTAGTGGCGTGGCACTGGGATCAGTGCTTGGGCCACAATATTTACAATGTATACAAATGAATTGGATGATAGAAGTGAATGTACTGTATCTACGTTTGTGGATAACATACATAAAAGGGGAATACAAGCAGTAAGGATGACAAAAAGGGCTAACAAAGAGACAAAAACAGTTTAAATACATGGACAAAATTCTAGCAGATGGAATAAAGTGTAGGACAATGTGAGATTATGCATTTTGACAGGAAGAATAGAAGGGTGAATATTATTTAAATGGAGAAAGACTGCAGAAAGCTATGGAACAAAGGGATTTGGGAGTCTTTGTCCATGAAACAGAAAAAGCTAACATCTAAGTTCAGTGCGTACTATAGAAGGCAAATGGACTGTTGGCCTTTATTTCAAAAGAATTGGAATATAAAAATAAAAAGGGTTTGCTAAACCTATACAAGGATCTAGTCAGACCACAGCTGGAATATTGTGAACATTTGGGGCCATTTAACTATGAAAAAATATACTGGCATTGGAAGTGCTCTACAGAAGGTTCATTAGACTGGGTATGGAGGAACAGTCTTATGAGGAGAGGTTGAGCAGGTTGGCCCTGTACTCATTGAAATATGGAAGAATCAGAGACAACCCGAAAGGAAACATAAGAGATTCTTATGGGACTTGACAGTGTAGATGCAGAAAGGTTATTTTCTCTTGTGGGAGAGTCTGGGACCAGAAGGCAAAATCTCAGAATTAAGGGTCACACATTAAAGACAGAGATAAAGAGGAACTTCTTCTCTCAAAGGATAGTAAGTCTGTGGATTTTATTGCAGAGGAATAATATGGAAGCTTGGTCGTCAAGTCTATTCAGGGCTGAGATAGATTATTAGCCAATAAGGGAATCAAGGGGACAAGTGGGAAGGGGAGTTAAGGAATATCAGGTCAGTCATGATCTCATTGAATGGTGGAGCAGACTGTATGGGCTGAATAGTGGACCAGACTCGATGGCTGAATGGCCTTTGTCTGCTCTATGTCTTATGATCTTAAGAGTACTAGAACCAGGAGAATTCAAAGCTGAGGTGACTATACTTAAAACAGTAAGCTTGTGCAAATCGGAAGTTTACAACCGTGGGATTGACTGGAGGAGATATGAATGGACATGTCACCAGAAATAAGCAGAAGACCCAAAAAATTTCAACCTTTACATGAATTTCTAAAACTACGTAGACTAAGTAGATAATATTCTAATTTTTGCTAAGTATTTGACTCGCAATTTAATGATGTGTGTTAACTGAATGTACAGGGAAGGTGAGTTAGGAAGTTTACTTATTTAAAGTATAACAAAAAATGGGAGCAGGAGTAGGCCATTCAGCCCTTCAAGGCTGCTCCAAGGCTGATCATCTAACTCAGGACCTTCTTCTCATAAACTTTAATCCCTTTGGCCCTAAGAACTATATCTGAACACTTCCTGAAAATATTCAATGTTTTGACCTATGTTCGTTGCACTTTAGTATTCTAAATGCAACTGACTGTTTAAGATACAGTTGGTATTCACTGTTCTTTGATATTTATGTAAAATAATTAAAAAGTCTAAGTAAAAACATTAAAATGTTTTAGTTTTAAATTGTAAATCTTCATTTTAGTAAATATCTCAGTTTATAAATTCTTCCAGAAAAACGTCTTATTGGTCTCTACCAGAATTGTAACAATGTCAGAAACCTAGGAGGACCTCTATTACCTGTGAGCCATGGGCTAAACAGAAATAGTCCATATCTGAAGGGAGGAAAATAAAAAAAACCTATTCAGCTGGCTTTTGCAAAAGTAAAAGCTAAACGTGTATTTTAAATTAAACAGGAACACAATTTACCATAAAAACAGTCTTCTCTATTTCCACCCAATGTCACCCAAAACAATTAGCCATGCAAGGTCCTGGGGAGTGTTGCTGAACAAAGACACCTTGCAGTGCAGGTTCATAGTTCCTTGAAAGTGAAGTCCCGGGTAGACAGGATAGTGAAAAAGGCATTTGGTATGCTTGTCTTTCTTGGTCAGTGCATTGAATATTGGAGTTGGGAGGTCATGCTGAGGCTGTACAAGACATTGGTTAAGCCACTACTGCACTACTGAATACTCCATTCATTTCTGGTCTCCCTGCTATAGGAAGGATGTTGTGAAACTTGAAAGTGTTTAGAAGAGATTTATAAGGATGTTGCCAGGGTTGGAGGGTTTGAACTATATGGAGATGCTGAATAGGAGGGGGCTATTTTCCCTGGAGTGTCAGAAGCTGAGGGGTGACCTTATAGAGGTTTATAAAATGATGAGGGGCATTGATAGAGTTGTGGGATCATGTTCAAAGTACCACACAACTGAGATCAGTGAGTGGTGAAAATAGCCTCTTTATTGAATATTCACAGGCAGCACGATGTGGGGCAAAAATGGAATCCCAAAATCATAGCTCAAAAATAGCCTCTTTTATACATAGATTGTACATACATCAACATTCTAACACTTGAGAGCTAAGTAATGGCTATTGTACAGAAAACTTTCCTGCAGGAAATCAGAGATGGTTTAAACGCTTGCTAAGTGTTAGTGGTTTATTCTAATGAGATTAAAGTGTCTGTCTGGTTTAGAACATAAGAACATAAGAACTAGGAGCAGGAGTAGGCCGTCTGGCCCTTCGAGCCTGCTCCGCCATTCAATAAGATCATTATTCAAAAGGTGTTAGTCCTGTTATTTCCAAAGTTAGAATGTTGGTAAAAATGTATCTGTGTGTTAAATGAAAGTTTTGATTTCTATCAGTCACAGCTGTCTGTGACTTTTGTTTACT